AGGCCTTGATCCTACATACAAAAAACTACAGACAACTGAGGAGAGCAGGGAGCGGGAAGAGGGGGGGGGACTTCCCTAGGGAAGAGCACACCAAATAATTGCCCAGTGCCAAACAGTCAGCCCTAAAAACATACACATAAGCACATTACATGGACTGAGCAAGTTATACTTAGGGCCATGAGTGTGTGCACAATAACAATCAGTGAAAAGGGGGCCATGATTTGAAGGAGAGTAGAGAGGAGTATTTGGGAAGGTCTGGAGGGAGGGAGAGGAAGGGGGCGATGTTATTGTATCATAATCTCAAAAATTAAAACAAACACCCGCCTAGACATATTTATGCCCACCATGGAACAATGTTTAAACACCCTCTCTACTACAGTTCTGGAGCAAAGTGCTAATTAAACTCGTTCCTTAGAGATGGCTGGAACTGTTCCAGACAGAATAAAAATCAATAGTGACATTCTTTGCGCTCAGAGAATTCCCAAGTATAAATTTAGTTTTCATGGATTTCCCACCAGCAACCACCTTTGATCGGTCTGGGAACAGGGTTTGCAAACAGAAGGCTCCTTGGGGCTGAGAGATGGGTTGAATGGGTCTAGTGCTCTCAATTTGAAAAATACAAAATTGGAAAATAAAATGGCTGTCTAAGCTGGCCAGCATGTCCCATAAAATATGTCGATCAAAGATGAGGTTTCTGAAACACTGAGGAATGACTAGGGGACCCATGGGGATGTAGGAGAGTCAGAGCGGCTAAAACCTGGTCCCAGCTGTCCCATCGGCAGACAGCAATGTCCTGATAGATGCTGCTTAGGGAAACAATGTTTCTTTAAACACTCAATTATGGCTACACAAACACATATTTTAAGCCACCAGCAGATCTCTGGACAAATTAGGGATGCTAGAAGGCAAATCAAACAGATTCCCTGAAATGAGTATTTAATAAGAATCCAGCTCTGCCCTGTGAAGAACCATCTTACCGTGGAGGAATTTGCAAAGGATAATGAGGGAACTCTGCCAGAATCAGCTTTAGATGATAGCTCTTATGACTGAAGGGGCCAAGGCCACTCTTAGTTCAGTTTTAATTGCTGAGCAGGTTTTTAATTATAACAGATTTCAGGGTATCCAGGGGTTTGGTGCGCAATAGGTAGAGCGTCTTCGCTCTCTGGGAGTTGCCAGAGGATGTTCAAAGGTCTTTAAAAATGGCCCCGCACTGTATGTCCTTTCATGACTGGCACACATGCCACCCTTCCTCTTTTTAAACATTCTGAAGTCTTGACATTTTAAAACAAAATTCTTTCCTAACTTATAATGTGGTATTTTCTTATTGCAAAATGATAAAGGCTTTTATAATTCCTGTGTCCACAGCGATGTGGCAACATGTCATTTAAAAATAAAAACGGACAGCATGTGTGCCATTTTCTGACATGATATTTACATTGGGTACATCACAGAATTTCCTTTTGATAGTAAAGTTCTTCACTGTTTTAATATCTCCCACCAATATAGTTTTGAGGAAGAGACTCGACAGTGAATGACTTTGAACCTGGGGCTAACTCCTAGGCTGTAACAGGCTGGCCATCTGATTGGTCAGACCCTCAACTGTCCTGGGTGCTAAATATTTAAACAACCTGTTCTTATTTCTTACAGCTTTATTTGACCAAACTTTCTAAATTGAATTTCCTGGGCCAAAGGCTATGGAAATTAAAATTTAATTATATGATGTTTGATTAATTACCTTTTGTGTCTGACAGCATGAGGAGAAACGTAACATTTTTACCCTGCTCACAAAATGGCACATTTTGGGGTATTCATTGCTTCGTTTTTAATAGACATGTAACCTTCTTCTAGAAAGGTCACACTGAATATTTGGGCAAAGCATCATTAAAAGAGTAATAGCAGAATGTTCTAATTATGAAAGCATTACTTTGAACAGAATGTGGTTGTTAAAGTTGGCACAGGTGGGGACTGAGGATGGGGCACACACAAGGCCCTGGGCTTGATTATCAGCAGTGTGAAGAACAAAACTGGTACATCTAGCAATCAGTAAATCAAAGCTAGCATCCAGAGGGATAGGTTATGTCCTTGCCATAAATTTTAAATTTATTACAATAGTTTTTTATTAACTTTTTTTTCTTTTTAGCCAGGACTGGCCTGGAAATTCCCTATATAGTCCATACTGGCCTTAAACTTATGGAGAATTTCCTACCTCAGTCTCCTACATGCTGAGATTACTATATACGCCACCATGCCCAAGTAATCTATATACTTTTTTAAAAGATAGATTTACTTTTACTTTATCTGTATGGGTGCTTTGCCTACACACATGTCTTTGTACTGTGGACTGTAGCACCCAGGGAGGCTAGAAGAGAGCACTGAGTCCCCTGAAATTGCAGTTACAGACAGTAGGGAGCTGCCAGGTGGGTGCTGGGAACAGAACCCAGGTCCTACCTCAAGAGCTCGTAACCTCAGAGTCATCTCTTCAGTCCCATAATCCGCACACTTCAAAAATAGGGGCTGACGAAAAGATTAGGGGGAAAAAAAGACATTGAGAATAGAGGGTTTCGACGTTTTCTAATTCTGAGGTTATCTCGGGAAAGGCCTAAAGGGTTGGACAGGAATAAATCGGGGCACCTTGCGAATGATTTTCCACACAAATTATCCCGTCTTGTTGTCAGCCTGCATCGCGCTACCTCCAGTAATGGGGTGAATCACTTCCAGAGGGAGCCATGAGCAGAACGATTCAGCCACTTTCCAACCCAGAGAACCAGATGGGGCCAAGACAGCGTTTTACATGGAGGGACACGTCAATAACGAGAAATGAGAGTCAGGATTGTACAAAGACTGTGGTGTCAGCTAGAGAGACCAAAGCAAAGCCACGCTTCTAAGCCAGGGATCCACCTTTGCGCTCACCCTGCCACCCAGGGGTCGCATGCTGGTTTATTTTGCTGTCACTCTCAGTGTCACCCCCTGGCAGTGCTCTCGTCCTGCTCTGGAGCAGACTTTTTGCAGTAAAAACAGAAAGGATTTCATGAGATTTTTCCACTCTCCTACCTGCATCCCTAAGATCATGTGTAAATCAGGCTCACAGCCTTCCCTGTGCTGGGCAACATGTGCCTTCAACAGCCAGATACCCGGAGCACATACCACACAGACATTTCTAAGCCCTGCTGCCAATCATAACAACCCATAGAGAACACGTGACACCACGGGCGTTCTTGTGAGATTTTTGTTTGTTTTCCTGTGTCTTTCAGGTAGCATCTAGAGTATAAGCTTTTTTTTTTTCTCATAGCTGTGACCAAATATTTGACAAGAAGCATCTTCAGGGAAGGTTTATTCTGATGGACAGTTGGACAGCCCAGTCCATCATAACAGAGAATGCACGGTGGCAGGGGTGTGAGGCAGCTGGTCACACTGTACCCACTGTCAGGAGCAGAGAGCACAGCAGTGAGACAGGCTATAAAACCGATCTACCTTCCCCAGAGAAGCCCCACCTTCTGAAGCTTTCACAACCTTCCAAAGCAGTGCTACCATTTGAGAACCAAGTGTTCAAACACATGAGGACAGTTCACATTCTAGCCACATTCCCTAGTTACCTCAATGGAGATATTTTTAAAGCCATATACTTGCAGCAATGAAAAAAAAAGTGAATTTCTCACAATATTCTTAAATGAACAAAAACAGAGGCGCTGAGGAGATTGCTCAGAGGCTATAGTTCTTGCTATATAAATATGATGACTTAAATTTGGATCTCCAACACCCACATAAAAGCCAATATCTACAATCCTAGCACTAAAAAACAAAGACAAAAGGATCCTGGGGTCTTTCCCAGCGAAAACTTAGCTATTTAGCTACAGGCTCAATGAGAGGCCCTGTATCAAAAAGCACAGAGCAATTGAGGAAGTCAGCTGCTGGCTTACACATATAAATACACATCTACATGCATGCATACACACACACACACACACACACACACACACACACGCACAAAACACACATCCTCTAATCAATTACAATGTCTAGAAAGATCTTTAAAATATTTACTTTCTGAAGGTAAATACATAAAAGCAATATAATTTTCAGTTCAGAGCCCCAAGTATTCAATCCATGTGCTCGAATCTTATTTTCAAGTCATCAGGATATTAGAAAAGCTAATACATATCATATATTCACTGTTTTGCAAGCCTTTGATCCACTCGGTGGTGAAGGGTAGACATGTAACAAGAAACGCGAAGTGGCAGCTTGCAGATCCCAGGGAGCAGGCTTTGTCATTTCATATATACCAACTGAAAGGACTGTGTGGCCTTAGCTGCCGCATGGCAGGACATCTCTTCCATCTGGCTTTCTTAGCCACAAACTCAAGCTCTGATCTGATGAGCATCCTAATTTGTCCCCACGAAGATTCACTCTGGTTTCTGGGACTGTGTGTCCCCGGTGGATGTCTTCCCTCTTCTCTGTGTCAGCTCCCAAACTCCCCACCCCATCGTACTGAAGAGTGAGGAAGAGAGGCTAGCTCTCCTGCAAGGGGAAAGCTTCAAGCTCTCCTGCTCTAATCCAGGGACCTGGCAAATAGAGTCATCCCTTTAAACACAGACTGCTTGCTGGAAGACCTCATTAGCTAAAGGAAGAATTAAACAGATAAGAAAAGCCCTTTGTAACTGTGGTACTTGTGGGAGGGCCGGTGTGTGAGGGGGCGTAAAATAGAGGTGAAGAGAGTTCTCAGTAAACACTGCTTCACCTGAGAAGTCATACACAAAACGTAACGATGCCCATGCTCTCAGAAAAGCAAACAAAACAAAAATCAGTGCCCTGTTTTCTGGAAATTTATAATTTCTCCCTTCAAGGGACAGATTTTTAAAGAAAAACATAAGATGAGTGTGTAATACTGGAGCAAGCTTGTGAGATCAAATACATCCTGACGGTGACCTAATCATAGAACAGTTTTCAGCGACGTGTCCTAACTTTCTCCTGTTGCTTTCTGAACGAGAATGAAGTTGACTTACTCGTTCCTTTCCAGGCTTAGGATCAGTTCTCGGCTCTCCAGCTGCAGCTGCACAGTCAGCACATCTGGATGATCCTGCAAGATAGATAAGCAGGAAGTTAGCTGGAAAGCACTTGGCTTCACCTTGCCAATAGCCTGATGTTCTACATCAGTATAGTCAGCAGAGAGGAAGGAGGGGGGTTGTCAAGACTGATTTTGAGGGAGGGGAGGGGAAGGGGAAAAGGAGGGGGAGACACTGATTTTCTTCTTGGGGACTTTCTTTGATTCCAAGTACCAAGGATCAGAGTGGCAGAACTGGAAAATGGGACTCCTGGCCCTGATGCAGCCTTTGTACCTTTCCCTTTGTCTAGTCCTCCTTTGGACCCTTTCCTCTGAACACCAACCCCATCCATCCCATCTCTCCTTTCCTTGATCTTCCCCAACTGCACAAAGAGCACCTCTATTCCTTACCTGCTCATGGTGGGAAACCTGAAGTCCTTCCCTAGCCTCTCTGGCCACATCCACCCCTCTGCCGGTCCTGCAGAGCTGTTCACTAAAGCACCTCTCCTGCTGCCAAGGCCCCCTCCCATCCTTCCCTTGAGCCCTTTCCTGTTCAACTCACAGGCAACACTCAACATGTACCTTCCTCCTGTCAACCCTTCTAACCCAGATCCTCCTGGGTCCGCCTTTCTTTTCTTCCCATCCACCTTCTCCAACGGTGGAAGGACACTTAAAACTTCAGTCTTGCACGAGCTCATTTCCCACAAAACTAATAAGATACTGGCATTTGAACCCAGCCCACGGTTCCCCATGTCCTCTCCTTGACAGGCCTTCAGTTCCTTCAACACATGCCTACGCTGTCCTCCTCCCTCCTTACCTGGCTCTAGTTTCTGATGGTGCCCACCCTTGGAACGCAAGAGTTGACTTGCTGCTCTGAGAATTTGCGCATGCTGGCTTCTCTACCTGGGATGCTTTTCCTGTCTATTGGAATCAGTTTAAAAGTCAGCTAAGAGGAGAGGCATGACCAATGTCCTGCTGCTCTGTCCTTTTCCCCTTAAAAGGAAGGGGCCTCATACCGACTTGTGATCAGTGTGCTGGCTTGTGCTTCTTTATAAAGGCTAAGGGAGTGCTGGGCAAAAATAGGTGGGAGTGAAGGAAGGAATTCATTCATCCTCTCCCCCCCTCCCCGCTTCTCTCTGCTAACCCATTTACCCACACATCTGGGGATGCAGCCCAGTCCTGGGGATGATGCTGCCCACGTTTAGGGTGTGGCTTCCTACCTCAGTGAACACAGTCTAGACAATCTCTCGCAGATACGCCCAGATACTTGTCTTCAAGCTGATACGAGATCTTACCAAGTTGATGACCAGTTCAAACCACCATAGTATATTAGGAGCGGTCTGGTTGATAGAAAAAAAAATCCAGTAGAGGAAGAAAAGGGAGGGAGACTCCTTCCGATCTCCTCACTGACTGGATATTTTAGTTTAAAAGCATGCTTACATCCATTTTCCTAATTGTTATTGATTGAAGACCATCAAGCCCAACATTCCTTTTCTGAAGATGATATATTGATTGATCACCTAACAGAGCTACATCCTTTGTTGGATGTGCAAAGAACACTATTCACTGAACCAATCAATCAAATTCTAATCAATATGCCAAAGACATTTAGGCAGTAACTATGATTTTATCTTTTAAACCGAGGAAAGTACCTCTAAACAAATATGTAAAGTACATCAATGCACTTTTCAAAAACAATAAAATAATATGGTACCTACCATGCAAATGAAAATATGGACTATTCACTGAATTGTAGAAAGCCTATTTTCTAGTTCGCTTTTCTGATTCTGTGGTAAACACTGTCACCAAAAGAAACCTGGGGAGGAGAGGGCTTATGTTTCTTACAGATTATAGTCCATCGTTGAGAGAAGCCAAGGCAGGAACTAAAGCAATGGCCCTGGAGGAATGCTACTTACTAGATTATTTCTCCCGGCTTGCTCAGTTACATTTATTATATCAAGCCCAGGTCTAACTGCATAAGGATAGTACTGTTTAAAGTAGGCCCATGCTGTCTTTCGCAAGTGTGTGCCCCAATCTTTTCTTATGAGGGCATCTGCCTTGTTAGGTTAGGACCTACCCATATATTACAGATTGAATTTGAAACATCCCTTGCAGGCTCATGTTTTGAATGCATGATTCCCAGTGTGAGATGCTATTATAATGTTGTGGCATATTTCTGAAATGGGGCCTACTGGTGGAGGTGGGGGCACTAATTACAGGCTCTTGAAGGCTCCTAGTCCTTGGATATGGTTTCACTTTCTGCTTCCTGGTCTGTGCTGGGATGAGTAGCTTCTGCCAATGTATTTCCACCTCCATAAGTTGGGCTGCCACAGCATTCATTCCCTGCCACAATGACTGAAATTGATGATGAGCCAAAATTGATCTATTCTTTCTCAATATATCCTGTAAGGTATTTTGGCCAAGGTGATGGGAAGGTCATTATCATACCCTACAACCTCAGTTTATCCAGGCAGCCTCCTAAAGGCCTCCAGATGTTCCACATGCCATGGTTAGGGGTTGGGGCTTCAGAAGAAAGATCTGACAGGGCCAGAGATGTGGTTCAGTCTACAACATCCTTTCTTCGTTCTTGCATCCCACTCACTCCCTCCCAGAGGCAACCATTATCCTGAACCAGTTCATCATTAATTAATTTTAGTTAACATCTTGGTTACCTTTATAGTTTATTCCCACTATATTATTTCTAAATAAAACTCTGCCTTTGCCCAGTTTTGATTGAGCATTAGCCTCATACCCAGCCCATTCTTCTATGACTCAGCTAGTTTAATCTTATACCTGTAGATCCATATGTGTAGGGGTTGTCTGTTCTGTGTGTTGTTCATTCTCATGAGTTTACAATATTCTATTGTATGAACAATTTCTATATCCACAGTCATGTAAATAAATGCTCATTGGTTATTTTTTTTCAGTCACCTCTCTATACATGACTAGACACATATGTGTCACGTTTGAAACTGAATAGGTTCTATGGGTGTAGGATTTGTCCATCTGCCTTCACTGGGGATTTATACACTGTTTCTAATCTACTAATGGATCATATTACCTCAGTTACTGGATACATGTGTCTGATACTCCATGCCTTTATAGATATCTGACCAAAATATTTTTTAGAAGCCAGGCAAGAAAATTTGTTAAATATAGAAGCACATCTTGTTCGGCTTTATTTGTTTTAAAATTTGTATGTTTATTTGCTTGTTGGACGTCTGTGCCATGACACACATGTGGAGGTCAGAGATCAGCTTGTTAGAATTGGTTCTCACGTTGATTCTAGGATTCTAGGCCTTGAACTCAGGTCCTCTGGCTTAGAAGCAAGCACCATTATCTGATGAACCATTCTCAGCCTGAGGCTTTAGTTTGTATCTCCATTATTGTTAGGCATAGAATTTTTGGCTTTTGGAACGTGTGATCTGCTCTTCCACGAAATTCCAGTTCATGTTTCCTACTCCTGAGTCACATCCCCAGCCCTTTATAAATCTGTCAATGGCAAATTTTACCTTGCCGTGGGTGCTCTGATGACATACCTGTCAGTGGCAGATTTTACCATGTAGTGTGTGCTCTGATGCTCAGACAGACTACTTGCTTGCTAGTATCAATTTTCTACTGGAAAACAAAAGGTCAGTCATTCACAGATAAAAATTACCATTCTTTCCCCACGTCCACAGTATGCATACACCATACAACCACACACATACACACGCAGAGGCACACAAACACACAGAGACATACACACAGATACAGACACATATACAATTTTCAACGACTTAGAAAAATTTGACCCTGACCTTGAAGCTGGGGCCATGTGGCAGTGACTTGGTACCAGACTTAGCAGCAGCAGAGAATCACCCTCAATAGCCATGTCTATTCCCATCATAGCCTGAGGTCATCCTTTCCAAGGGACCCATAGAGAGCCAAAGCCATCCATCTGAACCATCCATGCTGGAAGGTCAGGGGGATCTCATTTTTCAGGCATAACAACAATATTAAAATACTGCGTTCAAGGGAACTCGGGAATAACTAAATCCCTCTCTAGCACTAAATAAATGTTTCAGACTGCAGCCCTGGCATTCATGGGGCACAAGGGAGGCATTTATTGCTATGAATATTTAGAGGCATCTTGATTACCACTTTAATATTAGCACGTTAGCTCTACAGCCTGCAAGATCTGCACACCATGGAATGCAGAGAAGACAAGATTGAACTAAATGTAGGATAGGACCGTGAGGAATTAAGGCAGCGCCATCCCGGGAGGTCCTTGGCTTGGGGCCTATTAGTTATTACATAAGTGATAGTGATTTTTATCGGTGAGTTGGTGATCTTTATTTTTGCAGTGGAAAATTGGTATTAGCATGACCATGTGTCCAGCTGTGAGCCGAGCACAAACCCTCCACATTAAAAGCTGCTTGAACTGTTGCTCAGGGGTAGAGCACTTGTCTAGCATGTATAAGGCCCTGAGTTGGATACCTAGCACTGCCAATATGCATGTGCATACACATACACACACACATGAACATATGAAATGAGGTTTTATTTTTACTTTCCAATACTGGATTCACTAGTTATATCAGGTGATCTCTCCAACTTCATTTTGTGGCCTAAGACACACAATTGCTTTTCCCTCTGGAGAGTATAAAGCACATCTGAAAAAGTATATTCCTTCCCTCTTCTGGCCCAGGCAGGGCTTTAGTTCCCCTCAATGCCACCACCCTGGCCCAGTTCTTAATCTATTTCTGATTATGGAATTAATCAACCCTCACATTTGTAGCAAATGATTTAGATTTTTAAAGATTTAGGTTGCATTCTAGAGTCTAATGTTGACATGTCCTCCCTGGTTTCTCTGTGAGCCCTAACCGTTGACCATTGGCCTGGTCATGACCACCCTAGCAAGCCACATGCTCTCTCCCTGGTTCTGCCTCTTCTAGCAGATTTTACCAGTGGAGATTCATTCGTCTTTTCATTTATATTTTAATGGTTTACTTCTTCCAGGTGAGCAGAATCATTGTGAAGGCAAGCATGTAAAG